ATATTTGCATTGGTCACCATTGTAAAGGTTATTACAGATAGTTGGCCATTATTTGCATTGGTCACCATTGTAAAGGTTATTACAGAAAGTTGGCCATTATTTGCATTGGTCACCATTGTAAAGGTTATTACAGAAAGTTGGCCATTATTTGCATTGGCCACCATTGTAAAGGTTATTACAGAAAGTTGGCCATTATTTGCATTGGTCACCATTGTAAAGGTTATTACAGAAAGTTGGCTATTATTTGCATTGGTCACCATTGTAAAGGTTATTACAGATAGTTGGCCATTATTTGTATTGGTCACCATTGTAAAGGTTATTACAGAAAGTTGGCCATTATTTGTATTGGTCACCATTGTGAAGGTTATTACAGATAGTTGGCCATTATTTGTATTGGTCACCATTGTAAAGGTTATTACAGATAGTTGGCCATTATTTGTATTGGTCACCATTGTAAAGGTTATTACAGATAGTTGGCCATTATTTGTATTGGTCATAACTGTATAGGTTATTACAGTGGGTTGTTCATTATTTATATTGGTCATATTGTATTGGGTAGAATTGGTATAGGTAATTACTGGTATTTGACCATTATTTGTATTTGTCATTAATGATATAGGTTAATACTACAGGTTGCCATAAAATTTGGCCAATATTGTTATTATTACTGATGAGGGAATGAGGGTACCTATTCCAGCTTTAGATCCTGCTCCACCACTGCCAAAGCAGTTTGGATACAATAATCCACAGTATGGAACATTTCTTTTTAATATACAAGTTTTTGGACCACATCCGCCTCTTCCTCCCATTCCACCATGTGATGCACCTGAATTACCAAGTTTATGCTTGATACCAGCACCTGTAAGAATAATAATCAATGTGATGACATTGAGCAGATTTCAAGGATCATTTCTTTCACAAGAATTGACCTTGTCTGGTTGACCACTAAATCAATAATTAATTTTAACATTTAAAATTGAATAAGATAGTTGTCATTAAGTTACATGTTTACATGTATGACTCAGCAAATCAGGAAACACCTTGTTTGTTTTTTAAGATTTTAAATTGTAAATGACACTGAATTCAGTTTATTGAATTGAATTAATTAAAACCCTTTTGAATGTCATCATTGTAAAATTATACATATTTTTTTTTTAATTTCTTTGTTAACTTTGGACCAAATGAAAACAGGTTTATTTTGTGAAAGGTGGCAAAAGTTTACTTTGCAATTGAAGTGAATGTGATATGCAAATTACCTGAATAATATGCACAGATGAAACACAATGTGATAAAAGTTTACTTTGGCATCTAAAGAGTTATGATATGCAAATTACCTAATTAATATGCACATATGATAAATTAATCTATTTTGTGAAAGGAGACAATAGTTAACATTGGCATTCAAACAGCTATAATATACAAATTAGCTAATTGATATGCACATATACATAAAACTATTTTGTGAAATTTAACATAAGCTTACATTCAAAGGATCATAAATACAGGCAAGATCAATTCAGTGAATTATTTACCTGGTCCATCACCAGCAAGGTAACCACCATCATCAGCACTTACATGTCCACCATCATCAACAGTCATAAACAAAGAGTCAATCCTCAGGTTCTTACCATACACTTTGCCACCACCTTCTACAATAAGTTTACCAGTTTGTAAGTGGTACTGTTCAGGATGCGCAAATGGACTTGATGCGTTTATTAGACTCTGGGCTTTAACTATCACTGTGCCATTAAATCGATAATTCAGCCATTGCATTTTGTTAGTGGAACCAGTCAGGAAAAGTCTGAGTTCACCGCCATTAAGAAGCTCCATGTCATGCACATGATCAAGAGTTCCTTCCATGTGTACAAAGACGCTGCTGATTTCTGTATTGTGGGCGAGTCCTAGATAACCTCTATGATAAACATAAGAATTGAAAGGTGTGTCAATGTAATCCCTTTTTAGGTCCATGATTTGGTTAGGACCCACGTGTACATAACCGCTGCGATCACCAATCATATGTTTGAAGTGAATAGAAACACCAGCATCATATGGTTCTGTTAACACTGCAAGGTGGGCATTACTGTGAATCTGCAGCTCCTCGAACTGGTAGTCAAGAGCTCCACTGGCAAACACATGCACCTTAGACTGGGGAAGAATCCACGCTTTGAAACTATCTTGCGAAATGTCTGAATAGTTTCTAATAAGATCAACATGATGACTGATTAGGTTATTGTTCTCTAATAACAGTGTCCGGTGTTCATGAAGCATGTGATAAATAAATACTGTACCAGGACCACCAGGTTCACCATCACTAATTTCATCATATCCACCATGCGATTGAAAGGTGCCGTGATAGGTTGTATTGTCCCAGAAATATACAGCAATTCTTCCACCAGATCCAGCACCCCCTGTACCAGACATGTACTGGGCACCACCATTAGTTGTTATATTCCCATCACCTTTAAAGTACAGGAAGTACAACCAGAGACTGCCACCACTGCCACCACCACTATGTATGTTACCAGCACTGGCACCATCTGCACTAATAACACCATCAATCCATGCTACGTTAGTGACATTCACCCAGACCAATCCACCTCCCTGCCCACCTTTATCCCCTCCTCCAGAACTACCAAGATATTGAGGTTCATACAGATCCCCATAGGGCTGACCAGTCAGTTCAGTACCAATACCATGGCCGCTTGTCCCTCCATGACCTCCACCAGATGACCCCAGTAGGCTATCATGACCTTTACCAGTATTGACCTCGGTAATGTGCACGTCAGTTGATCGGTAACCAGTACCATCCGCATTTAAAGTGCCACCATCATCAATAGTGATATTTTCAGTTGTAATCATCATGCGAGTGACATGAAATCTACCACCCCCTTCAATTATAACAGATCTTGTTGTTAAAGTCATTTCCAGGTTTTCCATCGGTGACTGAACACCTGTAATACTAGCAGTATCTTGAATCAAAATACGGTCAAAATGGAAATGATTTGGTTTAAGAAACTCAGTTTGTCCACCATACTGTAAAGCTAGCAGTCCATCATGGTGCAGTGTAATGTGATCAACATGTGCCAGAGTGCCGTGTAACCAGATACTGACATTGTGAACAAATGTCTCTGGTGCTAAACCAAGATATCCACCTGAATATACCCGGACATTAAATGGCAAGTCTATCTCATCACGGTGTTCAATTTTGAGATCCATCGTTTGATTGGCTCCAATATGAAAAGTGCCTGAACGATCTCCAATCATGTGCAAGAAAAACAGAGAAGCCTTTGAGTGGGTGGGATTAAGAACAGCCACGTGAGCTGCTCCATAGATCTGTAGTTCTTCAAAAGTGTAATCATGGGTACCACTTGCAAGGAAATGATGTCCAGACTGTGGTAGTATCCATGTCCGGCAGCCATCAGATGTCAAATCATTGTAGTTTTCAATGATATGGTGCTGATTTCTTGGTTCAAGATGGCCATTGCCAATTATCAGTGTACGGTGCGTATATACCATATGGTAAATGAAGGCAGTACCACCACCACCATTCTCAGCTTCCTTATTATTTCCGGAATGACCACCTCTAGAGTGATAGTTGAAACCAGTAGATGTTTCATTCGTGACAAAATATATGGCAAGTCTTCCTCCGCCTCCTCCACCACCTGGATCGTCTGTATTATTTGAGCCATCTCCGCCATCCACAGCAATTCTACCATAACCTTTGATTACACTTGCATACATCAAAATACTTCCACCACTACCACCACCTCCTCCTTCTGCATCTGCATGGCCACCATTAGCTGTAACTTCACCATCAATATCAATAACACCTGTGACATTTAACCAGATAATTCCACCTCCTGTGCCACCCTGCTCTCCATCATGGCTGAACCCACCAGCACTTCCAAATACATATGGTTCGTAAAGGTCACCATAAGCAAAGCCACCACCCACTCCATTAGAATGAGAGCCACGTCCACCGCTTCCACCGTGACCAGCTCCGCATCCTACGCCCAAATCACTGTTGGGTTGTCCGATATTGACATCACCATGCAATGAGTCTCCACCATGTGTTGCGTTATTATGGTGAGGTTGATATCCTAGACCATCGGCTGCTAATCTACCACCTCCATCTATGGTGACGTTCTCTGACAGTATAGTCATCTTTGTACCATGCATAATTCCACCACCTTCAATGATAAATCCATTTGTGATGAAGGTTATCCCAGGGTCTAAAATTGGATCTGTTTCAGCACTAATGAAACCTTCATCTTGAAGACGTACATAATCAAATTGATATGTGCTGAATGGTTCACCAGTAGTTCGTCCTCCATGCTGTAGCCATAAAAACCCACCGTGATGTAGGGTTAGATTTCTTATATATGACAACATACCGGCCATGTGTATTTCAACACCGTGTACAAACGTGGTGGGTGCCAGACCAAGATGTCCATCAAAATACACATGCACGCTGAATGGAAGATCTATCTCTTCTCTTTCTAGATCTAATTCTTGTCTGTTATGGACATGAACCGCACCGGTGCGATCACCAATCATATAGCGGAAAAACAGGGTGACAAGATTTGGTAAACGTGGCAGGAATATATCAGAATTCTGTGCACTGTGGTAAAGGGTTGTGTCATTGGGATTGAGAATGGCCAAATGAGCACTCTGATAAATTTGTAATTCTTCGAAATGATATTCATGATTCTCATTGGCAAAACGGTGACTTCCAGAGTTTGTGAGTATCCATCCTCTGCAGCCATCCTCAAGAAGGTTGTCCCAATCAATAGATTTACGTCTAGGTTGCCAACCGTTGTTCTCCAGAAGTAAAGTCCTATGATCCTCAACTAAGTGATACATAAATACGGTTCCTGGTCCCCCGCCCTCACATTCATTACACGCTAAGTCACCTGGTGCACCACCATGTGCTTCATAAGAGAATTCCTCAAATGTGGAGTTATCCGAGAAGTATAGCGCAACTCTACCACCAGCCCCTCCACCACCATCTCCAATTCCATCACCGCCATTGGCAGATATCAGACCATATCCAGTCAAGTGATATACATGCATCCAGATACTACCACCACTGCCACCTCCGGAGTTAGTCTCCCCGCTTATACCATTGACAGATACAACACCATCAATCTGTAAGGTGTTGGAGACATTAAACCAAATACGCCCTCCACCACTGCCGCCTGCTGTTCCACCACCAGCGCTACCAAACTGCTCTGGTTCATAGATATCACCATAGGGTTGCCCAGTCATACTAACAACTGTGAAAAATCAAAATAAATTCTTAATTACTCTATAACTATACTATGAAACATGTCTATTTCCATTATCATACTACCGGTATATTCACAGCTATCGATATCCACACTGTATCATATAAAAACGATTACCATTATTCGTTGAGCAATGACTAAAGATCTAGTTTTTAATTAGTGGCATTTTGAAGGGGTGATCATTTTGCCAAATGTGACCCCGAATATAAAAATTGCGCAAAAGTGGGGGGGGGGGGTTGACCAGGGGATGAGCAGTAATACATCCAGCAGACATGACAGCCAAATATGATATGTATTCACTGGTTATGAAAGCAGTCTGAGGAATGAGATAAATCTTGATTTGATAAATCTTAGAAAAATGAAAAAGTTAAACCGTCCATCTACATGTACTAGTAATCTTTAAGTACATATTACGACTCAACCCTCCAACCTTTACACTTTCATTTTGATAGTATTATTAAATGGTATATATTCTTCTAAATGGTATATATTCTTCCAATGTCATAGTAATAAATTACCTGAATAATCCCAATAATTACAATAAATCTCACCTTTGCCATGTCCACCACTTCCACCATGTCCAGCACCAGAGCCATCACTAGATGTGTATCCAAGACCTATGTTGATCACTCCATGTAATCCGATATTTTGAGTTCCATTTGAAAACACTGCTGGGCCATGATTAATTGAGTATCCATGTCCATTAGCACTGAGCACACCACCAGCATCAATTGTTATATTTTCAGATCTAATGTAGAGATGGGTTCCTTCAACTAAACCGCCACCATCAATCCAGAAAAGTCTTGTGGTGAATGATATTCCAGGATCAACGACCGGGTCTGCGATCATATGAATGTATCCTTGATCTTGTACATGTACTACATCAAAGTTATAATTACTTGATGTGGTGTCATTTGTGTGTCCTTCCTTCATTAACGAGAACCTACCTCCATGATGGAGCGTCAAATTTCGGACATGAGCCAATACACCACTCAAGTATATAGTGACGCCATGTACATAGGTATCAGGTGCAAGTCCCAAGAATCCTCCTTTGTATACTCGTACATTAAACGGAAGATCAATGTTATCTCTAATAAGGTTCATGGTTTGGTGATTACCGATGTGTATAGTTCCTGACCTGTCACCAATCATGTGGCGAAAATGAAATGATGCTTCCCTATCAACTGGATCGGTCAGAATAGCGAGGTGAGCATGGCCATAAATCTGTAGTTCGTCAAAATGGTAGTTATGGTCACCTGAAAAAACATGTGGTGGCATTAAGCTGACATCACAATAAAAGCAATATGCACCAAGCATAGTAAATCCACATCAATAATTCAGTACTTTAAGCAAGTAGTTATAAATATGGGTGGTTGATATCATTTTAAATCCATGAAATATGTGCAATCTACCACCTAATGAATGGAGGTTTTCCTGCCATGTATACAGTCGTAATCCCAATCCTTGCTATATCACATCAATAATGACACCAATTTATTTATTTTTACCAGAGAACATATGATCCGCAGAAGAAGGTAAAATCCAAGCCCGACTTTCATCCTCTGACAAATCATGATAACTTTCAATTGCATTCTCATCTTCTCGAGGTCCATTACCATGGTTATCAACAATCAAAGAAAGGTGATCATATTCTGAAATGATTAATGAAAAATATTATAGCTACGTTGTTTATCTTCTTTGGTTTGAAGACATCTCATCCTTCTTCAAGTTGGTTTATTAGACTTTATACATGATCTTAACTTTTAAATTTGCAGATCAACAGGAAAATCTATTTATAGATCTGACAGGCCAATCATGATTAGGGCTGGGCTTTTACAAAGGTAAATATGATTGGAGCCACTTTATACATACCAGTATGGTAAAAGAACATAGTACCAGGTGCACCAACTCCAGCACCACTACCACCTGGGATACCACCATATGCTTCAAATGATCCAGAATATGTTCTATTTAATGAGAAATAAACAGCTATTCTGCCTGCCGATCCACCTCCCCCCTGAACACTCACACCATTGTGACCATTTCCACCATTTACTTGGACTTTACCATATCCCTGCAAAGTCAAACAAACTTTGATTGACTCTCCACATGTATGAACATGGTTGAGTGATAAATTCTGACATTCTCAAAAATTATCTCACAGATTTAGATCTGATATCACTTTAAGGTCTTGATTCCATTTTACAAGAAACAAATCAGAAATTGGACAGATTATTATTTGAAAAGTAGTAAATGTTATTCAATAGTGAAAACATGCACTGCACTCTTATAATTTGTAATTTCAAATGACAGCAACATAGATGTCTTGATATTGTGACTCGTCTCTGCAGAGAAAAATACAAAATCAAAGATAGCCATGAATTTTTGTTTTCAGGTACCCTTCTATTAGAGATGTGATTCCAATGGTAATAAAGCAAGCATATACGATTGTTTCATGAATTTCTTTCTATTTTCTTCAACAGTAGGAAGCAGAATCATAATTTGTATAGATGAAACTGAAAGAATTGTGTTGTGAAGCTATTGCACCAACTTATTTACTGTAAAATACTTTCTCTTCGCTGAATGAATGACTCAGTGAAAATAAAATCAAGTGAATATACTTTTTTGTTTGTTTTACTAATCAAAAATCAGTGAAAATAAATTCCATACAAAACACCAAAAAACTCTTTTCAGCGAAAATTAATTTCAACTAAAACAAAGTATTTTACAATTAGTATAATAAAGCCAGCTTTGTAAAACAGCTTTGTATTGGGTACATGAATTACAATACAAGAAATTGAAATTTGAGAAGCTTACTTGTAGGTGTGTTGTGTTGATTCGTATAGAGCCAGCACTTCCACCACCAGAACCACTGTCCTGGCCATCTTCACCATTAGCACTGATTTCACCATCTATCTTTAGACTCTCGGACACAGTAATCATCATTTTCCCTCCCCCACGTCCTCCAAATGTTCCACCTCCATTACAGCCAAGATGATCCGGTTCATACAGATGACCATATGGTGCACCAGTCAGTCTTTGGTTGGATCCTCTTCCACCACGACCCCCATGTCCAGCACCTAATTAAAATAAAAATAGTAAAACTATCTAAGACTTTCCCATTACTTACATGTAAGACATCATTTTGCTTATTTTAGGAGACAAAACTTTTCATAAGATTTACAGTCAGAGAAAGTTCAGAGTTAGATGCAAATGGCAGTTGAGTTCTCATTGGGAGTGAGAAAAGCAGGCTACTGTGAAATACTTTATTTTAGCTGGAATTAATTTTTGCTGAAAAGATTTTTTGGGTATTTTATGTGTACCGTAAAATCTGTATTAGATGCCGCATCCCTAATAGAAGTCGCATCCATTCTTTTTGAACAATTGAGACCCAAAAATTCACCATATGTGTAGAAGAATAGAAGCTGCATCCCCTCTGTTGCATTGTACCCTTTTAATAGAAGCCGCAGCTTTTAATACAAATTTTACAGTAATTTATTTTCCCTGTATTTTGATGAGTTGAATGTAAAATATAGGAAACAAGCCATGTATTGCACACCCCCATTGGTTATAAAATATAGTTTTGTTTATTGTAATATAGTTGGAACATAAACATGTCAGAGATATAGATAGATCCAGAAGCTGTTGCTTGATTATAACATTTTTTAATATTAAAAAGTTTGACATTCAGTCATCTTGTATCTGATGATGTATAATATTATGTGTGATAAATGTGTGAAGTTTGAATGTAATTGGTCCAGGCATGTCTAGGATATAATTCTCGATGCATGCACACACACAAATGCACAAACAGCGGTCAATCCATAAGTCCCCGTTTTCAGACTGTGCTCGAACAGGGACTAAAAAAGTATATTCATTGGACCAACACTTCTGCTAAAATTAAATTCAAAATAAATTTGTTACAGTATCTTGAGTCTTTAGAACCAACCATTTACAGTACTCGAACTGTTTGGCACATTCCACTTTCAAGAACACGTCAAAATTACAGGTTCCCAAACAACAAATTAAATGATGTATTCATTGGTGGGATTTACCTGAACTACCAGATAGGTTGTCATTAGTTGGTTTTTTACCGCTTCCATCAGACACATTACACGGAATGTCATGATAATCAGCCACCAGTCGACCAAGATCATCTATTACCATGGTGACAACATTAATACCAAGATCAACAGCATGAACATGACCTCCACCTTCTATATGAAAATTCTCAACCTGCAAATAAAAGAACATGTACCATAAAAAGATGGAATTGATATTTTGTATTATATTAAATATTTTAGATTTATGGGCCCAGTGAAATGTTTAGTGCAACAAAATGTTGTGATTTTTATTCTTCTCACAGAATTTAAACAGCTTACAGTACATTTCTACAACAACGATGATTGTTGTCAACGGCAACAGATTTTCATGATTCCTATATTTGATACTAAATCTGTTACAAAAGTAACATACATATGCGTGTGATATTTACTAACATCAAACTTTATTTAAAGTGACAATCACTGCACAGTATACATTCAGATTTCAAGCATAAATGAATAATATATTTGACATTGGGAACCACTATAATTTGGGAAAGAATTGTAATGCTCAGATTTCTATAGTACCTAATTTGCTATTTAGATTTGAGACAGGACAGGACCGAGACAGATGACAAATAAATTTGTTAACAGCCAAGAATGAGAAGCACAGCAAATATAAGTAAATATAAACAGTTGCATTGCATAATGAATCATTAAAATATGATATTTTTTCATATAGAAACACACCTGTAATGTACATGGAGCAAATACGATACAGTAAATGAGGATGGCAATTGTGAAAGAATTTATTTCTTGGCATTGCATTCGATTTTAGATCTTCACAATTGTATGGGAATATACAAACCGCTAATAACTTACTGTTAGGACTATCTTTCTATCACCTGCATCTAACCAGTCCACTGGTGCAATCTCACCATTGTTTTTGACAATCAGGGAATCCATTCTGTATTCACCAGATGTAATCTCCGTATATGCATCATCTGAGATTAGATGGGACCGACCAGTTGGACTAAGAAGTAATCTACATCCATCACCGACTGTTAAATCATGCACACTCAGTATACCTCTATTACAACACAAAACATATGACATAAGTTTTAGTGTCAAAAAAAAATATTTTCAAACATTCTCTTAAAGTTACTAAGCATGCTACTATAACAACCTATACTTAATCTTAAAGCTTAGATAGGTAAATACAGTAGTGCATATGCCATACTAATTTTTGTCCAAGCTATTTATAGACGGCCAATTTTACTAAATAATAATTTTTTACTGTTTAGTCACATGAACAACCCATGCATCATAGAGCACATAATACGTAACGATGTAGGCCGAAGTGCACTGTGTAAGAAACATCTCAATTCACAACAAAATTTTGGCACAAATAACGATGATCAAAGAGTCTGGTGAATACACAATAAACCCAATACAAATAAAACAGACTTACTCAACAATGATGGTAATTTGACGACATGTGAATGTAGGCGGCAATACTAACTCTCCTTCTTCATGGATATGAACATTTACTTCAAAATCGTCATCGCGACTGTTGCCAACGACAACATACTGGTCAGGTCCAATATGTAGCCATCCAGTTCCATCACCAATAAAAGTAAAAACATGTAGTCCATTTAGCCTGAAAATAAAATTTTGATGAAATAAAAAAAAAGATGAAATGCAAAATGAGTTTATTATAAAATCATTAAATTCATTATATGTCAAAAATAGCTATTTGTAGGAATTAGATTTCTCCACAAATCTTTGTTTATATATGTTATCACAAGTATTGATCTTCCATATTGATGACGTTATGAGCGCCCTCTATGGCCACTTTGAAAAATGTCTTTGTTTGTCATTTTTTTAATGGCAATTTTAATTCAATTTCATCAAGGTGAAATGCTCATTTGTTTTGTTTTTTAAATTATCAACCTATTGCTGCCCAAAACACTGACAATAATTACATACCGTAATATATCAGGATGCAATACTAAATGTCCTTCTTTGAAAATCTGTATTTCCTCAAAATAATAATTTTGTTGACTTGTTGGTAACCAGGTTCGACTGGAATCGCTACTATAGTTATCAAAGTCATCAACGTAAGGGGTGACAGGTGATTGATTATTATTATTGATAATTAGTGATCGATTTTTGACGTGTTCTTCTATGTTCTGTTAATAAAATCCAAATAATTCAATGTAAAAGCAATATGATAGTATTAAATAATTGTATAATTGTATTAAAACAAACAAAACAGTTTCTAAGATCAGATTTAGCTTAAGAATCATAATCTAGCATCAAATTTATCCTTTGAATTGGATTCCAAGACCAGATTAGATTTTATTTACAGATCAGATTCCAGCTCTATAATCAAATTCAGATTCAGATTCCTGCACTAGATTATGATTCTGACCTCAGAATTAGATTTCAGCATTTGATTAAAATTATAGTCTTAAAAAAACAAAAAAACAAAAACATAATAAAAACTCAAAGAACCAAATGGCTAAAAATATTCTCATACAAAAATACAAAATCTTTATTATACTTCGCCCTTAGAATCAGCTACTGTTAAAATTACAATTTTATTTAATAACTAAATCTTGGCTCACCTCCATATACACTGTGCCTGCCCCTCCGATAGCATAGCTGCCATACCCACCATAACTTTCAAGATGTCCATACCAGTACTTCTGGGAATCCCAATAAATAGCGATTCGTCCACCGCTTCCTCCACCACCACCAAGTCCGCCACTGCCACCATTTGCCTATTGAGATACAGATATATACAGATATTATACTAAAATTTCTCAGTGATATCAACAAAATGGTTGAAAAGTGTACAAACATATGTTGGGATATTCTCATAAAAACCTTTACCGGTATTATTAATATTATACATATATTTCAACTTTCACTTAGTGGTAGAAATCCCATACATGTAGTTTCCAAATTCAAACTCATATAACTGATTTTCTCACAAGTTTATTCTATTCACTTTGTGCAATAGGGCATTCAGATGTAAAACAATGTCAGTTTTTATATCAGCACATATTATAACTTAAAATTTCAAGTATAAAATAAACAAACAATGCCTCTAGATTGAAAAATAACTTCAAGGAATTTAACATACCACAATACACCTTTCATATAAATTGCGCCCTCCAGTGATGTAAATCGATGGCACAAAGGCCATTCAAAACATCAACATCATTTGATCTGTAGTTATCCAACATGAAAATTACAGAAGTACTCAGTGCATCATGCATAGACTAAAAACACCAGTAGAATATTCACTGTATCAAAAGTATATACCTGTTTTTCTCTGCTCGTGAGATATCTTAACATTAATCTTTTATAACACTTTTTGTTATTAGTCAATACTCACCTGTATAACACCAAATCCTTCAAGTTCAAATGTAGATATCCATATAGATCCACCTGACCCTCCTCCTGTGTAAGTGTCACCAGTATCACCATTAGCTGTTATACTGCCCTCTATGGTGAGGGAAGTATGCACTATCAGCCGAAGAATACCACCACCTACAAAAGAATAAATTAGAAACACTCATTCAGATTGGAAAAACATTGTACACAAATTGTCTAACCCAGGTATTCATGCAAAATACTTTCAAGATTTTATGGCATTTATGAACAAGCAGCCTGTCAGCTGAGATAGCTCCGCTGTTAGCAATGCACATTACAATTAAAAAACTAAAAATATCATTAGAAAATGAACAATATGTTCGAAAATACAAGAATTCGAAAATATCACTTTTCACCAAAAATGACAAATATATTCATCAAAATGAGATAATTAAAGATATCATCACGAAATGAACAAATCTGCGAGAGGTCTACCTGTAGTACCTATATAATAGCAAAGCAATTAGACTTGCAGTTTTTAACAAGAAGTCAAAAATACCACTTTTTACCAAAAATGACAAAAATATTCACCAAAATTAGAGAATTAAAGATATCATCATGAAATGAACAAATCTAAGAGAGGTCTACCCAATGTACACATACAACAAGTATCAAAGCATTCAGACTTGTAGTTTTCAGGAAGAAGTCAAAAAAGTAAAACATTGACACGGACGAAGACAGATGCCGACAGAAGACGACGGACGCCGACGGACAATCACTCATATGACAAAGTTGACAGCGGTGCTAAAAAAAATTTGTGAATGTCACAGACACTCGGTGTTGAAGTACCCTAGAGATATTTTCACTGTTACAAATTTTGCAATTTTGGGAATTCATGCACATTTTTCTCACGCATAAAGTAAGCTCTAGTCAATCGCCACACATTTTCTATTGTTTTTAATGTGTACAATGATATAATATTTTGTATAGTGATATCTGCTTACCAATTCCTCCCTGAGATCCACCACCGCTACCAAAGTCTGTTGGTTCGGTAATGGAACCATACTCAACACCAACTGTTATATCTACAAAACACAAAGAGTGATTTGTCATTACCGGTAATATAATATTAAGGTAGGTGTAGATACAGCAATAAGGATATGTAACTTTTATAATAATGGGATGAAAACACTACTAAAATTAAATTATACAGTGTACAAAGGAAACTCATGTACTCATGTAAAAGAATTTGTTTTCATGTGAATATGTTGCATATGTCAATTGAAGATCATCACAGAATGTCCTGAATGAGCATCAGTAACCATGGAATTGATAGTGGAACCAGAAGAGAGCATAGATATCAAAGATCTATCC